TATGAAAAGTGTCTTAGAAGTNAGAAANAANGAGGATATAGGCCCTTTGAACCCAGTCCCTTATTGCTTTATTTTCGGNAGCACNAGTGGCTGGTTACTTTATGGGGCGTCTGTGAAGAACTTTTATATATGGTGGGCCAATTGTCCTGGTCTCCTTTTGGCTATTTTTTATATTCTAAGTTGTCACGCAGTTTTGGAAAAGGGNAAAAGGCGTTTTTTGTANGAAGCTTTGACTCTTTCGGTGCTCGGACTCACGATAATCTGTGCCTTTTTATCCGCCTTTATATTACCNAAAAATATTGCAAACATAACTTTGGGTGTTTTGGCAAATACTATGTTAACTTGTTTTTACGCTTCTCCTTTGTCAACGTTAATTGCGGTTGTAAGATTGAAGGATGCTTCTTCTTTGGACCCGTGGTTATGTGCAATGAATACTGTCAATGGAACGATGTGGACTGTTTACGGGTTTGCTCTTGGGGATCCAATCGTTTGGTCGTTAAATCTGTTAGGTGCCATATTGGGTGTGTCACAGTTATCTCTCATTTGTATTTATGGACGAAGGAACGCAACTATATCACCAACTTTGACAACTCCACAAGATATAGAAGAAAAGGTGACNGAAGGGGCTTCTTATTCACAAAAGCCAGAAACAACAAACTACGGAACAGGNAACAAAGTAGACGTTTCTGGCGAAGCACTTTGACGCTTCTATATTGTAAGAAACGAACAAATGGTCTCTTTTGGTTTCCAGTAGGTCGTACAAAAAAGGACTGTAGTGGAAATTGAATCTTGTCTATGATTCTACGACTTTCTATACATCTCTTCTTAATTTTGTGACTTTTTGTAAAACAGCTGCCACCAGTTCACTGTCTGATTGAATCCGGTGTAGACTATTTTTGTTTACAAACAAAGAGAAAGGGTCAACCTTTGTTCTCCATACAAAACAATGAAATGAGATTCACTTACGACTCTTCCATACTTTCAACGGCTTCTTTGGATTGCTTAAGCGCCTTCACTAGTTCAGTACAAGACCCACAACTTTTGGAATTCTTACCCTTGATAACTCGGTGGCGCTGTATTCTAAACGACGAGATATTGCGTTTAACTTTTCTTCATCCTAAACTACTACTTGAACAAAAAGTTTCGTAGAACAGCAAGTAAGTTTACTTCTTCAGTTACAAAAGACTCCAGTAGCTTTCCCAAAGAACTTAACCAGTCTCGCGAGCCTTGGCTCAGTAACATATTGGAATGAAAAAGTTGCGAGCCTTCTTCTTCCTCCATCTATCAAGTACTTATGAACAAAAGCTGACGGTGTAGCACTCTCAGGAAAAGAATCGTAAATCAATTAGACTTGGGTCTCCCATAGTTATCCAATGCTAGCGCCTCGAGCATAACCGAATGTCCTTTTCTCCTTGGATTTGCCTTGAGAACATTCCTTATTTCTGTACGATGTGGAAGGAAAGGTTTGGAATATCTTAAATGAATGTCATCCAATGAACGGCTCCTAGCGAATCTAGAGGATGTCTCCTGTCCTGATAAGGACTTGTTTGAATAATGATATGAAGAAATCACGTTTTGCAAAGAATATTCATCTTCCCTGTCTTTTTCTATGTGAACGGCTTCTCTACTTTGTTCTGAACAGGAAGATAAGGAATCCAATGCAGCATGTTCCAACTCTCTTAATTCCTCCTTTTCTTCATCAATATCATTCAACTTTGACTCCAAAATCCTCCATACTTCTTCTTCTTTGTCATTCATCATATGGACCTTGTTATCTTTACTTTTTTCTAAACCACTGAAAAGCTTCATTGGCTCTTCTTCAGCAGGAACAATATGTGGAGTGCGATGCAACTCATTATCGCAAATATCACTCATACGACCACTTTCCTTGGTAACATTTTTTACTATTTCTCGTCGAAAGTTGCCTTCTTCCACCGTTGCCTTGACTCCCATACTATTCAACTGACTCTCTGTTCTTTTATTCGTAAAAGAAGAATCTGACTGCATCTTTGTTCGACCGCGAAATGTACCACTTCTGCCTATCTGCAATCGATAACTCAAGAAACTTGCAGGAGTAGGCGGCAGCTCGATATCTTCATTGAAACTTTCCAAAAACTGAGACTCTTCTCTACTTATTTCTCCCGTTTTTACATAGCGACAGAATTCTGTGAATATCACGGACATGTTCCAACCTTGTAATAACCTCAAAGTCATAACTACAAGTCCCGTATTATGTCCACCGTCAAGACAATGAATAAAAAGTGGCAACTTATTTCTGTCTCCTAATATCGTAACTATCTTTGCCACCAATTGAGGAGTAAAAGTAACATTTTCCTCAAACTTTTCCACGTGAATAAATATGAGTCTAATGTTTTCGTGCAAACAAAACTCTTTCAAGTCCTCGGATGGGGCACAAGGCAAAAGAGATACGATGGTTCGCAAGTGCAGTCTCTTTAGGAAACGAAAATTCTTCAAAGAGGGGTATGCTCCTCGAAATAGTCCATCTTCTACTCTTGCAAACCGAAAAGGTGGAATAAGTGCAGGTGGTTGGAACATTCTTTTTTACAATAGAAAAGGTTTGCCTATTCTCAACGAAAAGGTACGATTCCCAATTGCTTCAATAAAAGTTGACATTTTTGAAGATATTTTCTGGTTTTCTCATCACTAGGCTCTAAATCTAAAGCAGCTTCAAAGTGGTCAACAGCTTGATGTAGATATTCTGCAGCTAATTCTCCAGTTAAGAGAGTACCCTAATTCACATCTATTATTAAAAGACATTTCAATCAGTCAGTCCATTACCAGTGAATACAAACATAAACCATAATTNTAATGCGTTACAAAGGAAAATCCATCCAACTGAGTTGCTTTGTCNTATTTTTCNCAAGCTGCTTCGAATAGTTGGCAAGCTTCTTCNCCTTTTAGAATAGAACCTCTCAAACATAATGAAAGACCCCAGTTGAACCAAATACGAGCATCNCTGTCTTTCATTTCNCTTGCTTTCATGAACCTTCATACGATAATTAAGTGCAAAATACTAGTTGAACATCGCTTACTTTCTTCCAGCTTCTATCAAGTCTTGTTGTTCCTGTTCTTTNGATGTTGAGAGTCTNGCACGGTTCATCAAGGTTACACCCCATTGAAGGAACACTTCNTAATCNTCTGTCAATATATAGCTNAGACGTTCCCATCTTCTNAGCTATTGAAGAAATATTTTCATTCGGCCCTAGAAAAAGATGAAAGACTTACTGCAGTATGAAGAATAGCATCCAAGTGTGATTTGTTGGCAACTCCAACTTGCTCCATAAGCATCAAAGTCCTTTTTTTNTAGTCTTCTTCNTCTTGTTTNTTCAAAAGGGGCTTGTCTTCTTCTTCTTTNCTTAATACATCTTGACAATCCGGCATATGCTCTTTNTTCTTNTCGAAGAATACTTGCTGCGGTAATCCCGATAAGGTTTTGGAGGACTCCAATAATAATAATGGTGAGATACTNTCTTTNTAATCTCTTTCTTCCCAATAAGCGTCGATCCATTCTTCNTCCAACTGTTTTAACATTTCTTCTCTTTCNAATTCNTCTCTCGAGAAACTNTAAAGATGGCTNTATCCTTCTCTTCCTTTCGATTCTTTCCAAGGAACTATACCAGACACATTNTTNTTTCCATTNGAAATAGAAGAAGACACGGTTTCCTTNTTTTCCATTGAAAAGCGATTTTCNGAAGATACCAAAGTCACTTTCTCNAACAATTGGTTGACTTGTTCNGACAAACTCGACCAATTTTGCTTTTCNGCCGATAGATTNGAAGCCAATTCCTTTAAAGTGGACTGAATATCTTTCCATCTTTCTTCCCATTTNTCCAGTTGATATAGGCGAGTATTCAAGGACATTCTGCTTTCNTTCCATTCTTCTCCAAGTCTTTTCCATTCCCATAAAAACTGTTTCCACTCTTCCTTTCGTTCTTCTTGTTTCCTTTCCATCCACTCNCAAGTCTTTGCTATGGATTCTAACTGAGATATCGACATTGCTAGTTGACCATCTCCTTTTTCTATCCTTTCTTCCAGTTTCGACATATATTTCTCCATATCTTCTTGCCATACCCGCTGTGCTAACAACATTCTNCGAATGTGTAGTCTCTGAATAACCATCGAAATACTCCAAAGCATACCACAAGCAACAATTAACAACAACCAACGTTTGTTTTTTGTCACCAAATAAAAATATATTGTTACAAAAGTGGTAATAAACCCAAACAAAAATATCCCAATCCATTCCTTGAGCAATAAAATAGCGTTTTGTTCGGTCACTTGTTTCGTATGGTTNCCTGGTCTCTGTACTTGACTTGACCTTTCTTTCAACGAAGATCGAAGGTATAAGCGTGAAACCGCAGTTTTTCTCTTCAGCAGGATGATTCTCTTCCCACAACTCTTCGGACGATGTGAACCACCACAACATAAAGCTTGAGTAGGATGAACAACTCGAAGAGTAACAAAACAAGTGGTTGGACTTTTGGAGGAGAGGAACAAAAACCATTGTCTNCAATAGCTTT